TGCCTGTTCTCTCCAGGGCAGGGGGCAGAATCATCTGTCCACAGCGCCAGTCCATCCAGACTACTCCAACAAAGACAAATTCCCATGACAAACTAATAGAAACAAAATGGAAAAAGAAGGACAGACACGATAATAGTTTTTTAAGGCCTGTTTCCCAATATCTTTTATACCCCTTTTTCTTTTACTCCCCATTTCCCCCCTAATAGTATGGCTATCCTTACTCCCCAGCTGCACATTAGAATCAGTTGAGGAGCTGTTACAAAACAGTGATGCCTCGGCCACATTCCCTGGTACTCTGATAAAATTTTCTGGGGTCAGGCCTCCATGTGGAGTTACTGTTAAAAGCTCTTCAGGTGAGTCAAATCTCAGCCGGGCTGAGAACTACTGGTGTAATATCTTTAAGTTCATCCATGTCAATTCATACCACACAGTATCTTTGCTTTGGAGGTTTCCTGTGCCTGGAATGCCCTCCCCCTGTCTCTCTGACTGATGACCCAACAAATGGGAGCCACGTGTGTTGGGGGCCACGCCTGAACAGTGCTGATGTCATTCAAAAGAGAGAAGCAGCAAAAGACGTCCCTAATAATACACTGTGCACACATAGTGTTTTTATTTAAAGACTAAACTGTCTGATACAAAGTATATGTGCTCCAGGAGCTCAGAGGAGAGAGAAGTCAGGAAGATTGTATGAAGGAAGGGGATGGGGGCTGAGCATTGATGGGTGGGTAGGGTGTGGGTAAGGGGGCAGCAAGAGTAGAGGGCTGTAGGCAGAGGGCATGAGCAAGGGAGTATTCCGGGGGCTGGAATGATGCGGGCTGGTGCTGGGGACAAGGACAAGTTTTGCTTGATCAGATGGAAGGCTCAGTCTCCTTCCACCTGTACCCACCCCTGCCATGGCTCCTGCAGCATGACTGGGAATCCCATGTGGCCAAGTATCCTTGTGTATTGTTCATCTGCTCTCGTGTCTGTGTGTGTGTGTGTGTGTGTGTGTGTGTGTGTGTGTGTCCCCTTCTAACCAACAGATCTGTCAGCAGCTGAAAGGCAGGGACTATATATACTTCATGTAAGTTGGGACGTGTCATTCAATTCTGTTTAAATCAATTCAACTCAACTCAACTCAATTCACTATATATTTAGCAAGTTCCAAGCATGTGCTTTTGGGATTCAACTAAATAGGTCAAAGCACTGGCCCTCCTGAGCCTGGATGCTAGCAGGGGTATACAAACAACAATGAATACAATAAATCATATAAACTAGTCTAGTGAAAGGTGGTAAGTACCAGAGAGAGAAAAGAAAAAGGGGATCAGGGTGGGTGTGGGTGGGTTAATATGCATGTGTGCCTAGGTTTGCACAGTTATCACATGGAAGGTATTAAATAGAAGGTTAGACCAGGTCTCGCTGAGGAGGTGAGAATTGATCAAAGGCTTGAGGGAAATGAAGGAGTTGACCACATGGCTATGAGGGAGAGAAGTTTTCCAGACAGAGGGGACAGCTAGAGCAAAGCCCCTAAGCGGAAGCCTGCCTAATGTGCCTGAGGGATGGTGGGGAGGCCCCGCTGCTGGAGCCCACAGTGGTGAGAGAGGACCTGGGAGGGGAATGGGGGGCTGGCTCATGTGGGGTCTTGGAAGCCACCCTTTGGATTTTGGCCTCCATTCCAGGTGAGACGGGAGCCCTTTCAGGGTTTCAAGCAGACGAGTGACATGATCTGGCTCTGGGGTTGCTGCGTTGAGGACAGAGTATGGAGGTTCTGGTGGGCTGGAAGGCAAGGATGGAAGCAAGGAGGCCTACTGTGGGATTGCTTGCTACACACATGGCCAAACTCACGAAACTTGGTGGAAGAAGACCTTCAAAATATCCACAGGCGAGGGCTGCACATTATGCTTTATTAGAGCTTTATTAGAAGATGCACGTTATTTAGATTTTTGACCTGACCCAATAAGCCTGACCATCCAGCTTATGCACCGGGCTTGGCTTCAAAAGACATTTCTCTCACCTAATCAACACATAAAGATTTGTCATTGTCAGTAAAGAATGTGACCGACTTTGGAGATGGTTTTCAAAGAATGCCAAATTGTTTAGAGCATGATAAGGTATTTGAGTAAGTGTAGATCATTCCAAAGTAACTGTTTTGAATGGGACAGTATTTATTTTGATATCTAATTCCTGCTATGTTTGTTAAAAAAAATTCTATTACTTTATAGTGTTTCTCCTGTATTTGCCCTACAAAGTGAGCAGACGCTTGGCACTCAGCACACAGCATGCTTAGTAAGTAGTTGAGGAATGGAATTAAGCCCTGGGCATGCTGGTTTGTGCTAATTTGCAAGGCAGTATTAAAAATTCCATTTGAATTTCCAGATCCAACTGATTTTAAGGGGGCAAACTACCTTTTTTCCTCAAGAGAAAGGAAACATGCACATTTAAGAGAGGTCGGTTCCCTTCACCCCCTAAAAAGCAAAGGCGGCCACTTTCCTGTGATTTCCTTACAAGTCCATTTAAGTGAATGAGCAGCCCTGGGGGGTAATCAGCCCGTCACCCAGTAAGCAACACCACTGAGCGGTCTCCGTGAGTGTTAGTCACTGAGCGAGCATACAGAAGAGATAGAAACCACTGTCTCTGTCTTCATGCTGCCTTCAATCTGTGGAGAAATAGAGGAACCACAAAAACAAGAGGGCGCTTGCAAAGACAAGCTGGTGGGTGCCTGGAGGAAAGGAGGCTCTTTAGGACCCTGTTTGTGTATCATCTGAAACTTTCCAACCTAGTAAAATACCCGTTATCGCATTTCATATGGCCCTCACAATAATTCTCTGAAGTAAAACCGTGGACTCTTACAGCAGAAAGGGGCCTTAGAGATCATCCCTTTGATCCAATCCCCTCCCTCTACCGGGAGGAAACCAAGGCATGGATGTGGGATGTGCTTTGCCCTGGGTGGGGGCCCAGAGGAGCTAGAAGTGGAACCCGGGTGTCCTGGCTCCCCCTTGGCCCCTACACTGTCGGAGTGGGGTTGGCTTACGGGAGCAGTGAATGAAGGGGGGGGAACAGCCTATTTTGGGGGGGTGTGGGGCGGGTGGGGGAAGAAAAAGCAGCTAGTGGAAGAGCCCCTAATGGCTTGCCACTTCAAAGAGGAGAGGCCTAGGCAGGCAAGGTGTGGTGGCTCATGGAAAGGGGTTTGGAAGGTTGGGTCACAGCAAGGGCACCCCTGGGCACAGAGTCTCAAGAGGAAACATTAGCTTTTAATGTTCTTTTTTTTAAAGATTTTTTAAAAGATTTTATTTATTTATTTGACAGAGAGAGAATGAGAGAGAGACAGCACTAGAGGGAAGAGGGTCAGAGGGAGAATCAGACTCCCTGCCGAGCAGGGAGCCCGATGCGGGACTCGATCCCGGGACTCCAGGATCATGACCTGAGCTGAAAGCAGTTGCTTAACCAACTGAGCCACCCAGGCGCCCCAGCTTTTAATGATTCTTTTCTTTTTTTTCTGTTTTAAGATATTATTTATTTATTTGACAGACACAGTGAGAGAGGGAACACAAGCAGGGGGAGTGGGAGAGGGAGAAACAGGCTTTCCGCTGAGCCGGGAGCCCAATGCGGGGCTCGATCCCAGGACCTTGGGACCATGACCTGAGCCAAAGGCAGCTGCCCAACGACTGAGCCACTCAGGCGCCCCTAATGATTATTTTCTGAGGCTGAGCGTCCCACAGCTAGGGTGGCAGGACCCAGGCGATCTGGGAGGTCAGGAGTGCCTGACAGAATGAAGGTCAGCGGTGGGCTGTAATTACACGGGGCCTCCATGATGAACTGAATTCCTCAGCACGGAGCATTTAGGTACCGACCACTGGGCCGGAGCGAAGAAGACTCCAGACCTGGGACACCCACAGGGGAAAGTCACCTGCTCCTGCCTGTGACTCCAGCCTTCCAGCCTGCAGTGGGGGCAGCAGGGGTGAGGCTCGCAAAGTCGCCCAGGGCCTTCCTGTGGTAGCGAGGCCTGAGACAGGCTGTCCAGCCATCCTGACCTGCCCCTGCTCCAAATGGAAAGGAGCAACCAAAGCACAGGATCCACATTGACGATCCTCCGAAGGGTTCCAGCCTTGGAGCAGGCCACAGGGTGTGAAGCAAGGTGGACAGGACAGATGCTGTAGTCTTGGTCTTCTTCCAGGCTTGAGTGGGACCCAGCGGACACTGCGGGACGTAGCGGTACGGTGGACGAATGTCAGCCGTATCAGTTCCTGGGTCAGGCCTGCTACCTGTGCGTGGCTTCCTGACCAGGGCATTTAGAGCTTATCAACCTTTATCAAACCTTGACATGCATGCAGATAATCTGGGGATCTTGTTCAAAGGCAGGTTTAGAGCCACAGGTCAGGTGTGGGGCCTGAGATTCTGCATTTCTAACAGGTGCCAAGGCCATGGTGATGTCACTGATGTTAGGGCCATACTTGCAGGAACAAGGCTTTAAAGGGGGGGGGGGGATTAATGGCAACTCAAATGTTCAAAGCCCTCACCTGGATAATGGCCTTGCTAGCTCTTTCTACCTGAGGGCCTCCATCTTTCAAATAGTTTACATATTTTCTGCCTTTTCTAGACATTTCTAGCCCCCGACTCCGAGCTGACCTCTCCTCTGAATGCTGGAGACACTGACCACCTCCTGCTGCCCATTTGGCCCTTAGCATCCACTGTCCAGGCTGTTCTTCTGTGTCCATTTTCTATTTCCCCAACTAGAGTGCTGGCTGCCTGGGTCTCACCTCCTTCTCTGCGTTCCCGAAAGGCCACACCACAGACGGTGACTAGAGCCAGGCCTCCGAGAGCACAGACTCCTTGCCTCGAGCCCACATCTCCTTTTCTCTGCGCCCTTCGTCACCTTGCTCAGCTGGCCCGCAGAACCCTCGCTGGGCCAGTCTCTCTGTCCCTATTGCCAGGGACTCTTGTTCTAGAACAATAAGATGGATTCCGTTCCTCTCCTAAGAGCGTGTTGAGTTCCGGAACGGGGGTAACCGTTCTGTCTTGGCAAAGGAGAAGCCGCCCAGTCAGGCGGGCCAAGGGACCATTGATCTGAGTCCAGTGAAAAAGTGGCTTCTCGAGCGCCCTGGATCCAGGCCCACTTCTAGACAACTTCTTCTTTCAACTCTCTTTCATGTGTTTTCACTTCACAAACATGCCCGTTCCCAGCTGCCCCTGAGAGACCACGGTGATGCTGGTGGGTGGTGGTGGGGAGACCACAGCGGTCGTCAGAGGCGCTGGTGGGTTGGGGAGGGGGCGGCGGGAGCTGCCGCCGCATCGGACTTGCCTGCCAGGGACTGAGGTCATCTTGCGGGTCTGCGGATACAGTCCTATGCACTCACTCCACCTGACTCGTGGGATCACGCAGTTACGCACATATTAAAATAGAGGTGACCCTGTAGGGCAGATTCACACAGCGACATCGACATCTTATCCCTTTCTTCTGCACTTTATACCTCCCTCTCTCTCTCTCTCTCTCTCTCTCTCTCACACACACACACACACACACACACACACACACACACACACACAAATACTTAACCAATTAAATCTGTTGAGCGCTATTTGCAGATGATGGTGTGGAATTGTGCTGGACTTGTGTCCGGCCTCATTAAATGTCAGCATTAACAATACGGCACTTGGCAATCAAGGCTGTTCTGTGGCTGTTAGTCATTAATCACCATCTGACAGTCCTGAATTGGAAACGAGGAGCCTGTTCACATGTGCTCTGTGTACCTAGTTACCCTCTTGGTAATCAGTCTCGGAAAAGTTTCCTTTGACTCCCTGCCTGTGGGGAGGGCCTCTGTCCTAGCAAGGGGGCAAAGGGTCATTAGGCTCTGCTCTCCTCCTCCTCCTCACAGGGAAAAGAGGTTGAGGTCCTAAGAAAACGGGGGGAGGGGGGAGAAGAGCATATTGTTTTTGGCCTACTCTTTCCCTCTTAGGCCTGTTTTATGTAGCCTTGTTTTTATATTCTGGCCCAATGGCCAGGAAAATTCTTTTTCTCCCTCAAGAAATCCTGAAAGACAGCAGGGAGGTCGGGTCTGCTTCAAAAGCTGGTGTGGTGAGTTTGCAAATGTCTCCTTTCCAAGCTGCTCAGGTGTGGACCTCTGTCTGCTAGATGGGAGTGCTTGGCTCATGTTGGGGATGGCTTCCAGCAACGTGGGTCTGAATGTCCACAGGTCTTCTGGGTCCCTTTGCAGAATTGAGAGCAAGGACTAGTTTCTCCTTGGGGTCCCTTCTTAGCACCTTCTTACAGCCTTATTAATTTATTTGTTTATTCAGGAAATCTCTGTTGAGTGCCTGCTGCATGCTGGGCACAGACTGGACACTGTGGGTACAGCAGTAAACACAGGGCATGGTCCCTCCCTCGTGGTGGTGGCTTTTTGTGGGTGAGATAAGTATCAAATAGAGAGTCGGTACTGAGGCAGGGTCGCTCCTTGAAGGAAGTCCTCTGGCCCTGCCTTCTGGCTGCCAGGTCCTCCCTGGAGGTAACAACCCTGGAGCTGCCATTCCTGGGAAAATGTTCATGTTCCAGAGCTTTCCTGACCAGACCCCTTGAGAGTCTGACGTCCCATGCCTGGTAGCCCTGCTCTCCATCTGCTTAGGTGCAGCCTGTTCCCAAACAGGTTTAGTGAACACTGATGTCTTAAGAGGGGTGTCTTCTCCCCCTACCCCATTCCCAGAACATTTTTGCGATCTTTTTTTTTTTCCAGGACTTTGCTCCTTAACTCCAAGAAATGAATTGGGGTGGGGGGAGTGAGGAATTCCAGCCACCATGGCAAATAGGCAGAGGAAGGTGGTCACTGATGGCCCATACTTCAGTGGGCATCCTCTGCCAGCCTCTAGGGTTTGCCATGATAGCCAAGGTCCTCAGAGTGACCCTCTGCCCTCAGGATCACCTCTCTTGTTCTGGGTATGTGGGGACCAATGAGAGAATGAGAGAAGGGAAGCCTTCTGGAGCAACTGGCCACTGGGCCACTGGTAAAGGGTGTGCATCTTTTTTTTTCTCTTTCCTGATTTCTCTTTTGTCCCTCTTGTTCCTTCTTTGAATTTTACCTCCCAGGTCTCTTCTCTCATCAAATTAGTCATTTCAGCTCAAAGATGTTGACAACTGCTTAAGTTCTTTAGCTCTTTTCCAATTAAATGGAGTTCGGCAAGCATTTATTGTCTACCTTGTGCCTGGCCCTGTCCTAGGATGTGAGTGTGTGTAAAGGACCCTTCCTGGCTTTAAGGAACTTATGGTCCAGTGATGGGTGATGAGGGGTCCTGACATACAGAAGGACTATAAGAGAGATAAAATAAGGGGTTCACGGGATTCAGAGCAAGGGGAAACTGCAACCAATTGGGGTAAAAAATGAGACCAGTGAATTTGTCGGGGGGGGGATAGGCTTTTTAGGAGGAAGGAACAACAACTGGATGCAAGAGCTGGATGTCTAGGAAACAGTGAGTCGTCATGTTTGGCTCCTGCGAAGGTTACGGCAGGGGTGGGTAGAAAGGTGTGGGGGCCATTCCATGGAGGACTCGATTGCTAGGTTAAAGGTTTGGCCTCTATTAGACAGTGGGGAGCCAATAAAGGCCTATGGGTTTCCAAGAGTAAGAAACACATTCTCCTGTATTTCATTAAAATATTATCTTGGAAGAGAGAAAGCCAGGTCTCCCATAAGCTTCACTCTTGGGCAAGAATCTTGTAATTATATGTTAATTTGTGTCATCGTTAGTTCAATTTCTATCTCCATCAGCAGCTGCCCACATCACAGTTCCAGGAGGTAGAGAACCTCAAAACTTGGCCCCAGGGCATTCCCTGAAACTCCAGGGAAGAGGTCCTGTCAGCCCCAGATCAGTCTCCAGTCTCCCTCTTGCTTGCCGAGATGGTTGGTTGTGCCCTGGACTGTGGAGTGACTGGGCGGTCACCTTCTCCTCCCAGCTCCTTCCCCTTCTGGTTCTTCCAGGGCTTGGGCTGAGTTACTGAGTTTTTGTCCTTTCATGGAGGCACGGCTACAAGGAAAGCATCTCACGACAGGAGCATTCGGCTGATGTTCAGGTGTGGATTTCCCTAGCCTGAGACACTCTTCCTTTTTTATTACCTGGCTGACCCTGCTCAGCCTTCAGGTCTCAGCTTCATGGTCAAGATGCCACAGAGGCTCTCTCTGACCTTTGTTCTAAACAAGGGTTCTTTGCTACACCCTCTCTGGATGCACTGTAAAAGACACTCTGCGTTTCCTTCATTGCTACTACCACAATTTATAATCCTACATTGATCTGTTTCATTTTTTTTTCTTATTATTAGTCTGTAAGCTTCATGAAAGCAGGGGCTGTGTGTCTTTTTGCTCACTATTGTAGGCCCAGATTGGAGCCCAGTACCTGGTAGGTACTAGATGCTCAGTAGATGGTACTGAATGAAGGCACTGATGGTGCTGGGTCCATCTGGGGGCTGGAGCACCTGGCCACTGACTGGGCCATTGATAAAGGGTGGGGTTGGGCATTTACCCAGTGGCTTGGGAGTGGGTAAACTATGGGTTTTTTTCCTTATCTTTTTCAGAAGGAAAGGGAGAGAAGAAAACATGGAGTGAGGAGAGTAGGTTTGGGTTGGTATTCTTGGAAACCCTCTCTCATGGCCTGGCCCCATGGAATCTGCTCCACAAGAGATCATGGGAGATGGCATTGGTTATAGGAACTCTGCTTCTCCTCCGATAGAGTCCCCGGACCTTGCAGCATGGCTTGAAAAAGAAATATATGGATGTTCCGAAAAGAAACAGCATATTCCTGACCCAAACTACTTGTCATTGGCCTGTTCCTGAAGGATTCTGAGCTTGGAAAGCCCAAAGAGGTTTTGGGCACGCTTCTTTCACCCGAAGTATAGTTAAGCTGTAATCTGCTGGGGAAAATAGGAATGCAGAAGAGGAAGGGAAGACTAAAGGGTTTCAAGTAGGACTGATCTGCGGCAAGCAGCGGAGGGGAAAGGTTAGTATTGAGGTGGGTGGGAGAACACCCTTCTTTCCTTCTCTCCCCTCCTTCAAGGTGCTCTCCCCACTGAATGACGTTGAGGGTTGTGAGAGCTGGAGGAGGCAGAGGGGAGGGCAAGGCCCTCAAGACACGAGGGAGGCAGGGAGGCAGGGAGGCAAGGAGGCGGGGAGGCTTTCTATCCTAAGGGTGTTTCTCCTGCAGGGCTGGGACCACCCCCAGGGGCATTTGGAGTTGTAGGGGATGGCTGTGGTTATCTCCATGACTGTGGTTGCTACAAACGAGTAGTGTCTTGAGACCAAGGATGCTAAATCTTCTGCCTACACCAGAGGGTCCTGCTCAATAAAGAATTGTCTTGCTCCAAATGGCAATTGCGCCCCCTCTGAGAAATCGAAGGAGCCGAGTGCGGAAAAGCAAGGACTTTAAGCCTTTATCTCTCTGGGGACTTAGACACCCCATGGTTTCTGTCCCCAGGGCTCTTGAGGTCCATGGAGGAAAAGGGGACAGGCCTACCCTGTCCACTGGAGCATGTGACATGGCGCTCAAGGAGAACCTGGGCGACTGTCCTGTTTGGTGCCCTCTCAGCCCTCCCTCTGTGCCCCTCAAACTTGCCAAGCTCTCAGGGGGCCCCGTTCGCTCACGCCAGGCCTCACTCAGCTGTGCTGGTTAACTTTTTCCATATGCCGGGGCTGCTCCTGCACCAGAAAATGAGGGAGGATGGGCGAGAGATGTGTGGCCAGAGTGGTTGTGGGTGGAGGCGAGGGGTGGCCACGGCGATGTCCAAGGGTTGGTGGGAGAGGTTTTTTGGGGGGGCGTCGCCGTGAGGGGAATGTGTGGTGGTGGTGGGGGGGAGTCAACGGCAACACGTTCTAGCCTGTTGGGAGGACGGCTGTTGGCACCAGGAGAAATCCATCCAGCGGAGCCAACCCTCATTAATCATCCGGGCGGCTGAACTGCCAGGTCCTTTCAAGATCTTTCAGGAAGGGTTTTCACCCAAAATAGAGTTGAAAATGTGCTGGGCCCTACTCAGAATCTCATCAGTCTGGGCATTATGGGAAGTGTCAGGCAGGCTGTGACAGACAAGGCCCACTCTGTTCAAGGGGTCCTGACTCCCACGGCCTGTCATATCAAGCGCCTGATCAAATTTGACAGCTTCATTTGTACCTACAGAATAGATAAAAGGGGCTGTTCATTGAAACAAATGGAGGGGAAGGGGTGGGGGAGGGAAGGGAGGTGAGAAGGAGTGTGTGCGTGCGTGCGTGTGCGTGTGTGTGTGTGTGTGTGTGTGTGTGTGTGTGTGTGTTGGGGGGAGGAATGGCACCGGGGGTAGGACAGAGGGGCGGGTGATGTTCGGAGCAAGGGGTGCAAAGGAGGATGCTCTCCAAGAACATTTGCTCTAACACTCCCAGAGAAGGGAACGGGGGTCAGGGAAGACAGGTGAGTATCAGGCAAGGGATGGGTGTGAAGGACCCACCTATCACTGCGACCCTCTCTGTGCACTGGTCCCTGACGCTGTCACTGGGGCCAGGAAGGCAGGCCCTGGGAGTTGGAGCACCCAGGGCGGGTGGCTGGAACTGGACGAGCAGGGCCAGCACATGTGATGCATGTTTCAGTTCCGAGCCTTGAACTGAATTGTGCAGAGCCTCACTTCCCTCCGCCACAGCCCCTTCACTGTGCTTACCTGTGCTCTGTCCACCCGGAGGCTGTTGCCCTCCTTTGCCGGGGTTGGGGTTGCCGGGTGCCGTACCTGTGCTGGTGGTCCCCGAAGCACGGACTGCGTGAAGCCATACTGGCCTTCGTGCTCCCTGCTGATGGAAGCCTGTGGGTGTGAGCTGGAGGGACATCCTCCCACACAGTCCAGCTTTGGGCTTTTCTCAGGCTACCCCACTGGCCTCAAAGACCTCTCCCCTTCTTCCTCTGGGGGCCGGGTGAACGAATGAATCCTTCCAGCTCCCAGGGTGCTCTGGACACCTGGCACTTTCTGTGAGTCCCCTTCACATGTTACTGTCAGACCTTATTTCACATTATTAGTATGTGTTTGTACGGTTTTCCCTACTAGACTGTACACTTTGATAGGCGGGGCCATGTCTTATCCATCTTCTGTCCTTTGATAGCACTTAGCCCGGGTAGTAGGTTCTCAAGAAATATCTCTGCAAGTACAAGTGCACTGCAAAGTTCAGGTGTGACCGTCAGGAGGTGAGCCTGGGATCAGGGGATTTAAAGTTCTTTTCTGACCTATAGTCTTTAGAGGAGAGGGTCTGAAGTTGGCACGGCTCTGCCTACCCTGCCCCCACCCATCTGGTGCCTTTGGGAGGTTTCGAGAAAGTCCTCTTTTGACGCTAATGCAGCCAGGCCAGGTGTCATTGGCTGTGGACACCTCACTTGCACCCTTGGCTGGATGCTCTCGTGCAGGACACCAGCCTCACAAGAGCACATGGTGGCCCTTGTGACCAGAGTATAGGTTTTGGGAATCAGATAGACTTGCTAGGGAATCTTGCTTCTACGGCTTACTGGCTTTGTGACCTTGAGCAAAATGTGTTCCCTAATAGACTCACCGCAGAGAATTGTTGCCAGGAGTAAATGAAGCCTTGTGTGGAAGGTGCTTAGCACAGTGCCTGGTGCACTGTGAGCACTCCATCAGTGTTAGAGAAGGAGAAGGCCGTGTCTGGTCCCTGTTGCCCAGACTGTTTTCCTTTCAATGGAGAGCACATACAGTTCATCAAACAGTACTTGTTTGCCAGTGACCATCGATCATTATCATTTTCAGTCAATCCTTACCTTTTCGTAAGTTTCACAGATGAAAGAGTTCCTAGAGTTCAATATACGGGAGGTCCCTACCCTTCTCGTAAGGAGGGCTTGTCAATATGCTGCCTCAGTGCTCCAGTAGGTGGTTCTTTGCAAGCCACCTGGTGCAGATCTGAGGACTACAGAGTATGCAGAAGGTCACAAATCTCTTTGAACTTCAAGGTCTCATAGCTCTGAGATGTTTGTCCTAACAGTGGCAAGGCCACGCTTGTCTGGCTGGAGCATTCCATCCCTGGAGGCACCTATTTCCCATGATTTCGGATGCAAACTTTCTCCAGGTAAACAGGGCTCAGTGGGTTTGGAAGGAGTTTCTGTTTGTTGAGGCCCAAGGAAGCAGTGTGGAGGTGAGCTGGAGGGAGGGAGAGGAGAGTTCGGCCTTACTCACGTGTGGCCATGGGCAGTCATGCATACTTTCATCTCAAGCACAGATTCAGCTTCCCCCTGTGTACAATGAGCAGGGGGAGAGCAGGATGGAAGCTGGTCAGAGCTCCCAGGGAGCACCTGTGTAACCCCCTCCAGCGCTTCTCTCCTTCTGGGCACAAGGCAGGGGGTCAGCATCTTCCTGTCCTCGCAGTTAGGAGGGGCCGGGTGATTGGTTCTAGCCAGAGGAGTATGAACAGATGAAGAGAAGTGACATATGTCATTTTGGCCTGAAATATGGAATTGTTTGTACAAAATTCTTCAGCTCTTCCCCTGCCGTGACTGAGGATGTTCCTTCATTAGTCACTGGGTCTGAGAAATTATGTGCAACACTGTGATGATTTCTGATGTGTCATCTTGGTTAGACAGTCCCTGGTTATCTGAGAAGGAATTTTGCAGATACGATTGTAGTTCCTAATCAGTTGACTTTAAGTACATCAAAAGGGAGGCTGTCTGGGGGTGGGCCTGACTTAATCAGGAAAGCCCTTTAAAAGAGAGGCTAAGCTTTCCCTGAATTTAGAGGGAATTCTCTGCTCAAACCCTGACTGATACAGAGATCCTTGTCAATGAGGGAGGTGCAGTAGAAATGAGAAATAAGCCTTTGTTGTGGTAAGTCCCTGAGATTTGGGTGTTTGTTTGTTACCGCAGCATAATCTGGCCTATACTGACCACCACAACAGTATTAATAGAGCTCTTGGTCCATCATATATTTTAGCTTGCACATCTGTCTCCGACTGGAATGTAGGATCCTTGAGGCAAGGCCCATGTCTCTCTCATCTTTCTAGACCCCAGAGAAGACCACAGTTCCTGGTATGCAGTGGGGACTCTGTAATGTTTCCCCAGTGAGTCAAACCCCTTGCACTGAGCAGCATCCTGGCACTTGGGAGGGAGAGGCAGGACCGAGGTAGTTGGAAGTGCATCTAGCACAGTCCCAACCCATGCAGGCATACTGGCCAAAACGTTTTGATGGGACAGATCCCCGTAGTCTATCCACCTGTACCATCTAGACTCCCTTTGAAACAAAGTCTGAAGCTATTGGCTTAGTGCAAAGAGTTTTATAATCAGAACTGTGTTAGCATCCTGGTTCCACAGCTCTTTAACTGTGAGACTTTCGGCAATTTGCTTAACCTCTCCACATGGTGGTTTTCTCAGCAAAGGGAACTAGGGGTTTATTGTAAGTATTAAATGCCCAGCATATATCATTACATTTAACCATGCTATGGAGCACTCAAAATGATGCTTCTTGAGAAACCCTAGGTGGGCCTGGCCTATTGCTTCTGCACATTTGTTTAGCGGTCTTTATATTTGAAATTGTCAAAGGTAAAAAGGAAGAGCATGATCACACCATTTATTTATGGACAGGGTAT